AAGTGGAAATTTAAAGTTTAATATGTTTAAGCTTGAGTAAGCGAGTTTTATTGTAATGCCATGGTGTTCTAAACTCCTAAGTGCGATTTTTAAAGCAACAGAAACACTAGGTGGCACGCCCGTGATTCTGTGAGTTTAGATACCCCGGCATTATGAAATCACTTGTGCATGAAGTGGAAATTTAAAGTTTAATATGTTTAAGCTTGAGTAAGCGAGTTTTATTGTAATGCCATGGTGTTCTAAACTCCTAAGTGCAATTTTTAAAGCAACAGAAACACTAGGTGGCACGCCCGTGATTCTGTGAGTTTAGATACCACGGCATTATGAAATCACTTTCGTACCAAGTGGAAATTTAAAGGTTAATATGTTTTAGCTTGAGTAAGCGAGTTTTATTGTAATGCCATGGTGTTCTAAACTCCGCCCGTGATTCTGTGAGTTTGCGATTTTTAAAGCAACGGAAACACTATGGTGGCACGCCCGTGATTCTGTGAGTTTAGACACGCCCGTGATTCTGGCATTATGAATGAAATCACTTGCGTACCAAGTGGAAATTTAAAGGTTAATATGTTTTAGCTTGAGGAAGCGAGTTTTATTGTAATGCCATGGTGTTCTAAACTCCTAAGTGCGATTTTTAAAGCAACAGAAACACTAGGTGGCACGCCCGTGATTCTGTGAGTTTAGATACCCCGGCATTATGAAATCACTTGTGCATGAAGTGGAAATTTAAAGTTTAATATGTTTAAGCTTGAGTAAGCGAGTTTTATTGTAAAGCCATGGTGTTCTAAACTCCTAAGTGCGATTTTTAAAGCAACGGAAACACTAGGTGGCACGCCCGTGATTCTGTGAGTTTAGATACCACGGCATTATGAAATCACTTTCGTACCAAGTGGAAATTTAAAGGTTAATATGTTTTAGCTTGAGTAAGCGAGTTTTATTGTAATGCCATGGTGTTCTAAACTCCTAAGTGCGATTTTTAAAGCAACGGAAACACTAGGTGGCACGCCCGTGATTCTGTGAGTTTAGACACCTCGGCATTATGAATGAAATCACTTGCTTACCAAGTGGAAATTTAAAGGTTAATATGTTTTAGCTTGAGTAAGCGAGTTTTATTGTAATGCCATGGTGTTCTAAACTCCTAAGTGCGATTTTTAAAGCAACAGAAACACTAGGTGGCACGCCCGTGATTCTGTGAGTTTAGATACCACGGCATTATGAAATCACTTGCGTACCAAGTGGAAATTTAAAGGTTAATATGTTTTAGCTTGAGTAAGGGAGTTTTATTGTAATGCCATGGTGTTCTAAACTCCTTAGTACGATTTTTAAAGCAACAGAAACATTAGGTGGCACGCGCGTGATTCTGTGAGTTAGACACCAAGGTATTATGAAATCACTTGCGCAAAAACTGGAAAATTAAGGGGCTTACAAGCTACAAAAGCTATATGTGTGTCTTAGAGTGTTTTTTAATAGGAGATTTTCTTGTAGGAGACCCTCCGCCAGTTATATTTTTCGGCATTTATTAGTAAAAGATTTGTTTTCTCGTTACAAATAAAACACGCGTGGCAAAATTCCCATTTCCGGCACTTTTAGTACGTCCTAGAAACTGGAAAGCAGAGTACGTAACCGTTTATTCGGAAGAAGGCTTTTCTTTTTCTTTTTGATATTTATTTAGAACAATAGTGTTGCGATCCGTTCACGGAGAATCTTTGCTAATGCGGTTACATTTCGAAAACAATATTTTTGTGGTCTCGCGTGCGTCCTTTTGCTTTTAATCACCTGGAAACTTTGGTTTTACGTGGTAGTTACAAAGAAACGTTTCGGCGCGGCCCGCACACTGTAAATAAATTTAAGTAAAGTGGCCGAGTGTTCTGAAGTTGCTCTCTTTGAAAATTTTTAAAATAGAATCGAAGATGTATTTACTGTGAGGTTCCGGTTATCGTTTGGGGACAAAAGCATATTTTGATTGTGTTAATTGCTCCTGTCGGAATGAAATGTCATATGAATTAGCAAGATGACGTGCCAGTAAAAAGTTCCAGAGGTTTCTCATGATTTCCGACCTTCGGTCCTGCACTATGTTGTCAACACTTCCTTTGTTTTATATTGCGCAATCGGTCAATTCAGATGACCGTCGTACACGTATCCAAGGCTTGCGGGTCATCATGCCTGATTCTCAGACGTCCGAGGTCGTTCGCATTCCCTTCGGGAATCGAACGGACCGCGAACGACCTCGGACGTCTGAGAATCAGGCTAGAGAAAGCGATGCAATTATTAACTAATATATTAAATCGTCTATTGTAATATAAGTGAGCATATAAATGAGCCACTGAGGCGACTTATCATACATGAATGCGCCAAGAAAGCGGCTTTTATAATGAAGAAAACGGGCGATTTTGGCGCAGCAGAGTGACTAAGATCGTCATTTCGGTTGTAAAAATTTAAGATGACGCCTTTAACATTATAGAGCGGATTCTTTAAGTTAAAGGATTAATCTCTCACTCCACCTAAATTTTAAGTAAAATAAATGAAAATTAGGTGCAGACTTTTAACATTGAAAATCAGGCTATTTACAGCATTTTCAGTATTTTGGCACTGCAAGCTTTCTCGGTGCAGTCAGGGCATGCCCGTCAAAAATAAACTCTGACTTTCTGAAGCCACAGCAGTTGTTGACAGTTGACAGTCAATGTTTATTTAGGGTGAATATTGATGCGATTTTTTAAGTACCTGGGTGCTAACAAGTTATCTCTGGTTATTAATACCTTTTGAAGAAAAGAGCGTTTCGGCCAGTATGGGCGACAAGGGAGCGCCGTGGATTTTGTGTTCTGTATAAAGCCAGACAAGGGCTTTTAAAAGACTTCAGAGTAGAAGTCGAAAGTTTCCTTTTTTGTAATTTTCTAAACGGAGAATTTTTTTAAAAGAAGATAAAATATAGTGGTTAAAACCACTGCTGACGCAGGCACAACCGCATAGTCGCAAAAATAAGCATGAAAAGGACATTGACGAAACGCTTGCGTTCAGGTCGTTTTCACGGTGAAACAGGGATTTTTATATTTGCGTTTGGCTGCGGCGCTAGTAAAACCCAGTTTTTGTTAGAATCGCGAACTAAACTGAACTGAACTGAATAACTTTATAAATGTGTCAAGTCACTATCCGGCCACATGTATCTTATCCCACTAATCAATGACAACCAAATATTTAAAATTCAAATTACTTGAAATATAACAATATACTCGGAAAATATTTATAATACTGTGGTCGAGTCTCTCTCGTCCCTGAACTTTTGGCCAGGAGTAGCCAACAGGCCTAACAAGCGAAAACTGGAGGCTTTACATCGAATGAGTGCACAACTGATTAACTGGCATGTGTGAATAAAAACAAGAAGATATTTTTGGGAGTTTCAACTTACGCTATTTTTCATTGAGATACAGCAAACAAGGCAATTTTAAAAAAAATTGTGGTTAAACAAGTTAAAGAGATCTGCACCACTAAAACAAATCAAAGTTAACAGTTTTTGTTGCGAAACACTGTTTGTGCTGTAAAGTATCATTAGAAGGCGAACAGTTATTGAACAGTGAACCAACTTATGTGTGATCATTGTTCCACAGCCAGGTGCATGGTCAAAATAATTTTAAAAAATTGTAATTTGTAATTTGTTTACCCACGAAGCACTTAGGAGTTCTTAAGAACTCTTTGAAACGTGTCCGTGCGTTCCAGATCGAATTGGAATTTGCCAAGTGTTGGTTTTTAAGGAGATCGGGGGCGGGGGTGGGGGCGAAACCGGGGTACCCGGAGAAATAAGTCTCGAAGTAAAGGCGAGAACCTACAACAAACTCAACCCACCTACCCACCTATGGCGTCGACGCCAGGATTGGAATCTGGGCCACATTGGTGGAAGGCGAGTGCTCTCATCACCGTGCTACCCTTGCCACCCCCCCCCCCCCCCCACCACGGTGTTGACCATTCTTGTAAAGCGTTTATCAGGTTTGCATATGAAGTGTTCGATGATGTGGCATCTATTATATATGCTTTGTATGTCTTGTTTTCTTAATGATTTTCACAAGAACTGTTCTTTCATACACGAGTCCTGTGCCTCCTCCTCAGGACAGTGCTTCGTTTTTCACACGAAGGTGAGGTAATCGCGAAACGCGAGTGACTGGTGACGAAGCGCATGGGACCATGGGAACGAAAAAAGAAGAGGCAAAGCGACGTAACGTCTTGCCCGTTTTCTCCTTCCCGCCTTCCTTTGCGCACATGGAAAGAAATAGGTCTTGGTACGAGGCAAGGCACTGAGCATGTTTGTATGCATAATATGATACTCTCCCGAGGAAGTCTCCTGCCCGGTTAAGGTGGCGCGCTTACCAGCATTAGTAAATTGTTAAACAAGGCTCCTCCTACTTACACAGATGATTCCCGTCAAATATCTTATTTAAAATTATAGCCAAAAATCCTGAAATAACGTTATTGAAGGATCATGAAAAACTATTGTAAAAGTTTATTCAGAACTGTGAGAAAAATGGTAAAAAGGTAATCAGGAAATGTTCTATAAAAAGTGTGAAATACATGCATGCAGTTGATAGGTGAAAGGCAAATGTCATAGATATTTAACCATGATTCTATTCTAAAGTTCAAGACGTCGGCTGTGTTATGATTAAAATCTTTATTTCCACTGAGATAGATGTTAACACTTTAACCAAGATCTTGGTTCAACTAACTGTTACAAAAAGGCATAATACGTCGGCTGTGTTATGATTAAAATCTTCATTTCCACTGAGATAGATGTTAACACTTTAACCAAGATCTTGGCCTTTTAACTAACTGTTACAAAAAGGCATAATTATATATCCTTACAAATTCAGTTACGTATACATGCAACTTAGCCGGATCTAATCGATTACAGTTTCTGCCGTTTTTGATTAACTAGTCCTTCTTATCTTAAAAACCTTCGTGTCTGCTCTCTAAAGAACGAAAAATCCGTTAAAAGCCGAAACAGTTAGACGAGGTTTAACTTATTTTTGCCCACAACTGATATCGCCTCTGAGGTCATCAAAATTGATGTGACCCCATCCTCCACTGCTGAAGTCCACTAATTTGACACTTGCTGTTCGACCAACAAAGGCTTCAACATCCCAGAATTTGCGAGACATTGTTTCAGAACACGAACCAGTAGTACTTTTGACAACCTGAAAACGAGAAACATATTTGAACTTCTTGTACGAAACGCAACCACTCCTGAACTGTTGACAAGCTTAAGTGAGTATAAAGGAACATAAAATGTCCTCCTGTGAATCACTAGTTGTTGCACCTATTTTGATATTACCCGCCGTGTTTGAAATTAAAATGAGAAAATATTCCCGCCCCACAACCAAACTACAAAACTAAAAGCAATTCTGAAAGACTGTGTTACTTGGTGATCAACGATCAACTCAGCACGAACTGTCTTTATGTCACAGCCTCCTCCAATCTTGAATGAGATCCGTTTGCCAACGATCTTAAAGAACGGGGAAACAAGAGTTCCTTGGGGACCATCTCCCTGAACTGCCCCAGGGGTTGCTGCCTTGGATGGCCTGTTTTCGGACCCTCCGATCCACCACTCACCCTGCTGTTTGGCTGGTTGTCCTCTTTTGCGTGCTGTTGGGTTATCACCGTAGGTAGGTTGATTGTTAAATGCTGTTCCAGTCTTTTTCCAACCATGCAAGCCCGTTTCGAAGTCGAAGTTGCAAGCTTTAGAAGAAACAATAAGAATTTTTTTGAATGATGCTGTACAGAAATAAACATACATCGATTTCACCAACTGAGTTAAGCTAGGTACAACAAAAATTATACCGGTTTTAATTAGTGTAAAGAATATAACTACAACTTAAACCATACCCAGCAAGTAACAATATAAACTTCAAAACTACTCTTCTATTAAAACAGACCCACATATTAATTCACTTTAAACCAACGAAACTATCATAATACATCACCACAGAACAAACTAAATTTTCAAAATGATAAAACTTATTTCATAAGTAGAGTCATTTTCGGCTCCAATTAACAACAGTTATAACGCCAAAGGCAGAGCTAAATATTACGGTAGCGCAGTGAAAACTAAAGAAGACAACAAACAGAAAAAACCTTTTTTACTATGCAGCATTCACTAGAGGGCTTAGACGAATGCAACAATATTAATAAAACAGGAAAAAAAGTGTGTTTTGTAGACGTAGTTCGTACAATCTTGAAAAGGTCTTGAGTTTTAGTAGTCGTCTTGTCCGTCTTGAAAAGTCCTTGAATTCGGCTAAAGTCCTTGAAAAGTACTCAATTTCTTTATTAGGTCTTGAAGAGTCCTTAAAATTCACTACGTTATCTACGCCAGACACCAGTTTTCTGCAAAATTAGATTTATTCATCGAGGAAAATCTGGCTAAAACTCACAGGTAACGCAAAAAAAATTTAGTGCTTCAACAATATACACTTATTAAAAATGTCAGATCCAAGGGGAAACCGTCAGTTAGTTTTGTTCTCCCGAGAGTCTGTTTCCCGAGACAAAGTCTAGGGAAACATCATATTCTAAATTATCTTTGAAAATAGTATATTTCATAGTTTTTAGCTGTAGAATCTATATTTTCAATTTGCTTTGAGGGCCACAGAGTCATCAGTGTCTTAGGACTACTGTTAAGTGTTTTACCCTCTTTAAATACAGCCTATTATTATTATTATTAGTAGTAGTATTCGAGGGAAAAAAAGTAATTGGTTTCCAGAGGGACCTGACATTAAGCGTTTTGTTATACTTTTAGACTTTCACTTTATCATATGCAGCGACAGAAAATGCCTAGGAACGCCAGTAAGAGAAAAAACCGAAGCAAATCAGAACAGTCGACTCGGTTCTTAAAAAAACACAAATTTAATCCTCAAAACCACTGAATGAATGATGTACAAAGTACTTTCCTTATATTATCTGCATCTTTTTCCTCTGCTGGCTGCTGCAGGGGCCGCGGAGCAAGGTGAAAAGTGGGAGGGCTGACAATTGAAAATAATTTTTTCATATTGAAAATCGAAAAAAGGAATAAAATCATAGTATTTGATTTTCAAAAAGTGGGGGCAGGGGCGCAAAAAAGTGGTGGGGCCGCGGCCCTACCAGCCCCTCCCCCTCCGCGGTCCCTGTGCTGTTTCTCACGGGCAGCCAACGGCAATTTTCGGGAAAATATCTGTTCGGAAGACGATTTGAGAACTAGAATTTTCGGAACATTTGTTGTAAAATTTCTTGCTTGCCTGCCTCTCCTAGGATTTTCGCACATCTAGGCCATCTAGAATTTTCGGGAACCTTTTCCTGGCTGAAATTTTCGAAAAGGTAAGTTTTGATCCCTATAATTTTCAGATCACTAGACTTTCAGCTAGGAAATGCGAACAGATGAAAAGTTTTTAGGGGATAAAAATATGCCTATATCTACCGTTTAACTACTAAAATACGTTCAACAACGCTATGTTGAGTGGTTTTGAACTATATCCTCGTTGGGTGCCCCTGTGTTTCTCTTCAGGGATACCATGAAAATCGTTGCTTTTTATCTGTTTTAGCTTGAGGCTTCATGTTTGTGTTGTGGACCAGACCTGGTTGTGGACTCTTTTTGTTTTCATCACCGAAAGTGAAAACTGGCAGTGTTTTCCCCCCTTTTGTCACGCCACTTTCCACCATGCTTTGATCACGTGCTGTAATGTATTCCGAGCGAATTTCCCGAGCGGCGGGGTACATTTTGATTTTACTCAAGGCCATGTGACCAAGAATCAACTAATGGCAGCCCCTGTTTTCTTGAGTGAAAGTCTAAGAATAGATGGTTTTCACTGTGACGTCATCAAATTGTAAAGTCAAAATAGCGAGGTTTTATGAATTCTTATTTACACTAGGTTGAAGATAAACAAAAAGTAAATCTTTGTCCAAGTTTGCATTTCCGTAGCATTTTCGTTTCGAAAATACAGCAATTTGAACTTCCGAGTTTTCACAGTGCGTGACATCAAAATAGGAATGCTGTCTCGTTGCAAAAAAGTCTCTCCTCTTGATTTTCAGCAGTGTAACCACTTCAAGTATCAGAAGATATGTTTATGCGTACGTATGCTAGTTCTCGAGTGAAAAGAAAGAGCTTTTATAGAAAAAGTGAACTCCAGATGTTTTTTGTTGTTTTCCGGCGGCCATATTGGTGTACCAAAACGGTGCACCAACATGGCGTCTCCATACAAAGCTCCACAAAGGTGCCTGAAACGTTTCGGCAATTAACTCAGAAACTATGGGCCACAAAGACCTGAGACTTGGACAAAATGTTTATATATTAGTCTTTTACAACATTTCCCTTTCTTGGCTTCTTCCACAGGACGGTTTCCAATTTAATTTTTTGTTACGTGACTGTGAAAACGATCTATATAACAATATTTTATTTCCCTATCCTTATTTCAAATGCTATATTTCTGTACCTCAGATGCAATTGCAAGTCATACCCAGTCATTTTACAAGGAGGTTAAAGAATGCCGATTTATTGAATAAATCTAAGTCCTTGAAAACTGTAATTTCCTTGGAAGTCCCTTGGAATGTCCTAAAAATTTGTTTGTCTGAAGTTCTACGAACCATGTGTAGAGAATCTAATTTTAAACGGAAACCTCTGAAATTTCGTTTCTGCAATCATCGGTAAGAATGTGAAAACAGAGTCTTGATTAGTAATTTTTACTTACCACGTTGAAGTGGATGCACTGCGGAAATCTTTTCTTCCAGAGAAGCTAACCTCTTTTGTATCTGACTTAGAGCAGTTTTTATTTCTGCGTCATGGCCCAAGTTGAAGGTGTTTTTGTTCCCTTCGACAATGATTCCTTTTCCATTGTAAAAGGTTGCTGCACTTTTTCCATTAGTGACGACAATGCTGTTAAAAGCGTAAAAAGTCGCCAAGAAAGCGACAAAAGAAACTCCAGGTTTCATCATTTGGCAACGAGTGTCTTTTTCAACAGATGTCTGAGATGAGATCCTCGTGAATTTATATGCCATTGGAACGAAACTGTATACTTTCTTGCCCGATTTTTTCACCTTTGCTGAGAAGGGCATCTAACTGCGAGTTCCGACTTCCAACTTCCGGGGCGTAGTCAGGATTTTTCTATAGGTATGCACATCCTTTTTCAAAGCCACCTGAGTGACCCCTTAGTTCTCCAATAGTGTTTTTACTTTCTTTCAGATATTTGCTTCTGATAAGTGCCTCGTATAGAAAAACCACAGTGCACAAGCTTGGGTATATTACTAGGTGGTCTGAGGGCTTGCTTCCCCGGGAAAATTTGAAGTTGAGATCTCCTGAAATGCAATGGGATTGCGTCTAGCTTTAGTATCCTTCTAATAGCAGTGTACACTTTTAGTTACTTTGTGGAATCATTTAGCTTCTAATCAGACAGTTGGTGCCACTTGAATTGTGTCAAACTTTCCAGCTGACCCTCTTCCAGTTTCTTAATCCCAATGTCTCTAGTTTCTTTCAGCAGGAAGTTCAGAGTTTCATTTACAATTTTGCTTGCAGTGATTCAGTTTGCTATGGCCAGCCGCCAAAAAAGGTAAAGAGTCCTTATTTTACATCGGTAGCTCGAAATAGTCATCTGACTAACAAAGTGACGGAGGCCGAGGGTGCACTTACTACCCCCTCTCCATCATGCCAGTGCTCCGTTTTACAGGTATCTAAAGCTACTTAAGCTACACGGAAAGGAAAGAAGTCGACAGATGGATTTGAGGTCACACTCTGGGAATCAAACTCGGAACGTCCCGCACTGAAGGGCATGCACTGCAAACTACCAAATCCTATCGGAACCTAAAAATCACAATCCGTCCACTAGCATCTAAATTAAGGTCCGCGTAGTCGTCGCTTGTAAAACAAGTTATCTTAAACAAACAAGCAAAGTTACGGTTGAGTTGCGGCGATTGCGCTTTGCTGTATATACACTCTCTCATCGTTTCTTTTGCTCTCAATTCGGTACAGTTTTTAGGTATGCATGTGCGTCCCGGGACGTGTGTACGTGCGCTTAGGTAAGCTCTACTTCCCTGGTGATCTAATTTTCTGAGTTCCGTCACTTCTGACTTCCTACCTCCGACTTCTGAGTTCCATTTTGTACATCTGTCTTAAAAGTAAGGAATCACAACTTACTGAATTCAGTGAATTGCTGTCAAAAAATTGGGTTGGTAGGCCTGCATTGCACGACTTTCCGTTTGTTCCCATTCTTTTTTTTCTAGCGCGGGTAGATTATGCTTTGGAGGATTCTTAGTTTTAACTGAGCTAATGTTCTTGCTGCTGCTTATCTTACATTGGGAGAGGTCATAAACACCTCCGTTTCCGGTGTTCGTGTGTATTGATTTCCTGTGATTTTCAGGTTCCGATAGGATTTGACCTCTGAATGAAGCAGTTTATTCCATTGCTTTGCATTTGCAGGATGATCAACTTTCACGAGTAGTGGTGACTGCGAGCGGTCGTCTTCAGTTTTCTTAGAGCCATGCGCATGCAAATTAATGGCCCAGGAGAGATTGGGGCGGGGAGAGTGTTTTCTTCGCTCAGGCTTCCGCCCTCCCTTGGTGACCAATAAGGGGAGTGGGGGATTGGGCATTGGAATTTGTGAGCATCACAACATCACAATTTGCGTACTAAATTTAAAGGCAAGAGAGAAGGTGTGAGGGTACCATAATCAATCTTCCTAACGTTGGCAATGTCACAATGCCACATAGGAACATTCAAAGGATATCGCTCAGTATGAAATAATGGTTAATAATCTCTTAGGCTCCGGGGAGTTTTGGTAATCATTGATTCATTTATTTGCTGTTCACCGATTTCAATAGTGGTAATTTGTTGTCTTGCGAGGGTGATTTATTTGGAAAGCCGTGTTATTTTGCTTTGATTTCGCGTTATCAGGTTAAAACAAAAGAATTATTTAAGAGTCTTTTTTCATTGTTTATTTGATGATACATCACAGGATAGCCGATACCATAAATCACCGACGTATTTCCGGTCGTCGCTTCTTCGGCTGAATGATGACCAGCAAGAAGCGGGCCGGGGAAGCGGGTTCGGAAATCGTTCTCAGTCGATGACTTGAAGAGGTAGCCAACGAGACAGGGGCACCCAACGACAATTTTCGGAAGAATATCTGTTCGGAAGACGATTTTAGATCTAGAATTTTCGGAACATTTGTTGCAAAATTTCTTGCTTGCCTGCCTCTTTTATGATTTTCGAACATCCAAAAAATGGTATAATTGCCTATTTTAAACGGATTTTTACCCTGAAAAGGTCACCTAGAATTTTCGCGAGCCTTTTTTCTGGCTGAAATTTTCGAAAAGGTAAGTTTTGATCCCTATAATTTTCGGATCACTAGGCTTTCAGCTAGGAAATCCGAACAGATGAAAAGTTTTTAGGGGATAAAAATATGCCTATATCTACCGTTTAAATACTAAAATACGTTTAACAGTGCTGTGTTTAAGTGGTTTTGAACTATATTCTCGTTGGGTGCCCCTGAACGAGAGCTCTTTGCAGCAACTCCTAGGCAATTTTATTGCCTTTCCAGCAGAGAATGCCCCTGAGTCGAACCCTAGAACTCTCGAGGCTTGGTAAACTTTGGGGCCACGGTTTTAGCTAAAACTGTGGCCCCAAAGTTTTCTCTTGCGTAAAAAATTTCACAGCTGCGCCTGTTCCTTTTCCTAAATCCGGCCAAACCTTCAATGTTTGCGACCATCATTATTTTTAGTCATATTATGGCTTAAATACAGGCGTTTAGTATTTGATTGTTAAACTCCCTGAAGAAGTCTACGTTAGTTAGACGAAACGCGTAGGAAAATAAACAATTTTTACAGCAACAGTTCACAGAGTGCAGCTCACTAGTTTAGTTTTAAAAATTCTTAAATCATAGAAGCTGTGGCCGTATAGATGAACTAAAAGCAAAAGTTCAAAGAGCTGATTAAGGTGAGCAACTTGTGCAATTTTCAGCTCTTTGCAAGCGATATTGAAAGAAACATCAGCCATCAAAACCTGCCAAATTGCTGGGTGGCAAAAACGTTAATGAGCCATACATTCTCTGTAAAATTTCGAGTTTTTAGAAGAGAATTTCTCCGAAACCATTCGGTGCATTGGGGTCAAATTTTCAGAGATAACTGAAACTGTTATGCTCTTTCAATATTCAGAGTTTTTATTTTATTAGCGTCATCAGATAGTGATAAGCATATGTTAATGAGGCAAAAGGATTCGCCTACATCCAATCTTCACATTCTTGTAAAGGCCCTGCTCAGGGGCACATTACCAGATTACCGTCGAGGCCAAATAAGGGAGTGCCCCCCTTCCGGGAAACACCCGCGGAACAACGAATTCTCCGTGCAATAAGTATATAATCTATGGCTCGAAAAAAAACAAACAAACAAACAAACACTAGCTGGAAAAGCACCAAAACCAAGAATATTTTTCTTTTTAATCAAAGACAAATTATCAAAGTAAAAGAAAACAAGACGAATCAAAATAAGTGAATTTTATAAGTGATACTCCTCGAATACGGTAGACCTCAAATCGGCAAGATATTTATTTAGAAGATATTTTATTTTTGGTTTATTTTTTTATGACTTCAGTAGCTGCTCTTTCAGCTATATTCAAGGAGAAAAAGGCAACAGACTACTTTCATAACATCTTCAGAAGTCGTTTATCTGACCCAATCTCCTTTTTCCAGTCACAGATTAAAGATATTTATTGCTTCATATATGATTTTCTAGGTTTTTATTTGGTTTTTCAATTATCTCTTGCCTAATTTTTGTAATTAAGGGTGATCGGGAGGCAGGGGTGCTGACCCGTCAGGGGGCTGTTCCAGGGTATTCCGAGTTGTCCTGAGAGTGTTCCGGGCCTGTTCCCAGTTTTACAGACACCCAAAAATTCGAGTTGCAAATTTTGAAATGCACACAACTCGGATTTTTGCGGTATAAATTCGAGTTGCAAATTTTGAAATGCTAACAACTCGAATTTTTGCGGTAAAATTCGAGTTGCACATTTTGAAATACACACAACTCGGATTTTTGCGGTAAAAATTTGAGTTGCAAATTCTGAAATGCACACAACTACGATTTTTGCAAAAATTCGAGTTGCTAATTTTGAAATCGCACAACTCGGATTTCCGCCATGAAAATCGGAGTTGCAAATGTAAACTGTAAAAAAAATATATCGATGTCCTATATGAGCCACGGTACTGTTCAGTTGAATTGCGCACTCAAAAGAGTGCAATGTTAGTGAATGTAATGTAAGATAAAAGCGCTACGGTAAAGGTGAGTTCCCTTTGTGATACTTGGTTATTCCTTGTGATACTCTGTGATGCCTTGTGATACTTTGTGATGCCTTGTGATACTTTGTGATACTTTTTGATACCCTGTGATACCTTGTGATACTTTGTGATACCTTGTGATACTTTGTGATGCCTTGTGATACTTTGTGATACTTTGTGATGCTTTGTGATGGCTTGTGATGAATGTTGTAAGATAAAATACTTTACTTTTGTGATACTTTGTGATGTGATACTTTGTGATGCCTTGTGATACTTTGTGATTTGTGATACTTTGTGACCTTTGTGATACCTTGTAATACTTTGTGATACTTGTTGTGATGGCTGTGATTTGTGATACCTTGTGATACTTTGTGATACCTTGTGATACTTTGTGATACGTTGTGATACTTTGTGATGCCTTGTGATACTTTGTGATACTTTGTGATGCCTTGTGATAATTTGTGATACTTTGTGATGGCTTGTGATACTTTGTGATACTTTGTGATACCATGTGATACCTTGTGATACTTTGTGATACTCTGTGATGCTTTGTGATACTTTGTGATACCTTGTGATACTTCGTGATACCTTGTGATGCTTTGTGATACTCTGTGATGCTTTGTGATACTCTGTGATTCTTTGTGATACCTTGTGATGCTTTGTAATACTTTGTGATACCTTGTGATACTTCGTGATACCTTGTGATGCTTTGTGATACTCTGTGATGCTTTGTGATACTCTGTGATTCTTTGTGATACCTTGTGATACCTTGTGATACTTTGTGATACCTTGTGATACCTTGTGATACTTTGTGATACTTTGTGATACCTTGTGACACTTTGTGATACCTTGTGATACTTTGTGATACCTTGCGATACTCTGTGATACTTTGTGATACCTTGTGATACTTTGTGATCCTTGGTGATACTTTGTGATGCCTTGTGACGCTGCGTGTTTTAAAGCCTTGTACTGATACTAGAATTCGTGAACCAAATTTGTGTCACCTCAGATGATTATTAGTGAATTGTAGAACAGACCGGCATGATACTGGGGTTACGTTACTAAAAACTCAAGTTAATGAGGTATAGTGATTGTGTGAGCATGTGATGCGATCACAATCTTTGTGTCCTTAATCAGTTGTCCCCAAATCGTGCACTGTATATCCGCCCTCGTAGTCCTCGCGGTTTCGGCGATCGCTCCTCATGCGTGCTCTAAATCTACCGTGACTCAACAAAAAAATAATGATAATAAAATAAAATGTACAGTACTCAGTCAAGGTCGTTCTTTAAGAGTACACTCTGACTCTAAACTCATTAGGGATCATGGCTCCTGCAGTGATCCATGGGTTCATAGATGATATAGGAACCACTAGACTGCGTAGTAAGCGCGTTCCCTGCTGTTTCGGTGCAGAGAAAGACTGATTTTCTGTTTTGACTACGCAAAAAAATGGAACAAGAGCCAAAAAATGAAAGAAGGGAAAGGTAAGGGGTTTCCCGCCCCATTTTCTTCCCGATACCATACGGAAACGCTTGCTATACGCAAGCTAAGGAACCACAAGATATAAGCTTGCGAGGTAGACAGCACAACATGGAGGGTTTCTCCCCCAAAGTCGGTATTTCAAAGCCTTAATGGCAGGCATTAAAAAGGGGAAAGGGAAGGGGGAAATTCCAGCGCACAAGAACGCGAAGGGCGTTCCTGATATGTCAATGTTGCTAGGTTTTGAGTGACATGTGCTGCTGCAATCAAGCTACGGTAAACTGATGGGCAACAAAAACGTGCAACTTGTTTTGTAACATTGCTCCAAAACGCGTTGGATTTATCGGAAAAAATGCCGTTTTCGTTGCAAAACTCATTTCTAGCCATTCTTATGCTACAGTATGTTGTCCTGTATCCGGCCACTGAACGAACTCAATTTTTCCGGCGCCCTTAGTAATTTTCAGTAGACGAAGTATCCCGAACGGAAACCGAACATTTCAGCTTTCACCTTTGAAATGCAAGTTTTGGCGGGTTACAGCTGGGGAAACAGTGAAGAGGGCGCCTTTCTGTGTAGGTGAGTAAGTGGCTAATATTTACGCTGTTTACTGCACAGTAAAACTAGTGCTATTCAAATATAAGCTTGTAAAATGTGTTATTTTCAAAGAAAATTTAAAACATTTGAGGTGAAGATACTTAAAGAAGCTAAATTTTCAGAAAATTCAATAATTATCTTTAAAATTTTATTTGTAGCGGAGCACCATGGGTAAGAAAATTTGGTTCTCAAAAAATCGTCCGTACGTCCGTACGTTTGTCCACCCTTTCATGTAAGCTGGGGTGAAATTTTGCATTTCAAGTACCCGCGCCTTTTGCCGTTAAAGCGCTGAGAGCCACCCGGAATTTCAGAGATAAAAAACAACACCAACAAAGCCGACTCTTTTTTTCGACTTAATTCTAATGTCTGCCTTGACGTGGAAAACAGATAATGAGCTAGAGCGAGAGATGAAAAAACAAAGGAGACCAATGACTTTGGAAGGATTACATGGAAATTTTATAGCGGTGGTGTGAAAATGAGAAATGCTAGCGGCCACCGAGATAAAAATGAGTCACGGTGGTAGCGAAAAAATAGCGAACAGTAACACATTCAACATTTCCTCCATAAAACGTGTAACTAGGGAGTTTCTGGAAGTTTCTCGTTGTAGTCGTGCAAAACAACTTCAAAGAAGTGTACAAAAAAGTGTGCTGCACATGCAAAGGTGTTGTTGTTGTTGTTTTGCTAATTAGACCTATTGATGTTTTTGGCTACTTTTGTTGCCGTCGCCGCTTAGCATTACTGTGGGACCTTGGATCGATTATAAATGAGTTTACATTCTCGTCATAGTTAATTTTTTGCGTTACGGTGCGCGTTTTTTTTTTTTAACCATTGCTCAGCCTCCCCTCCCCCGCTAAATACTCGCTTAGACTGGGAACTAATTACGAGGAAAAAAACAGAAAATAGAACATGGCGGAGGCAGAGCGGCAAAGGATCTTTTCCGAGCGGGCAAGAAATGGTCTTTCGTACAAATCAAGCCCATTGTTAGGCTCAGCTAGAAAGTATCAAGCTTCGGAGAAAAGTTCATTGTCAGAGAGCTTTGAAGGACCAAAATGTTACGGTTCTACGCGAAACCCACTTCAACCGCAGTGCGATGTAAAATGGATAGGACATGTGTTAGAGGAAACAGACACGTTACAAGGGGTGGCGATAAAATACGGCGTGACGGTAAGAAAAGGCGTTGGAAAAATATATATCTTATGTGCTTTTCCTTTTATTGTAAAATTGTTTTTAAGGGTAAATAGCCTCTTCATTACACGGAATACGCAATTAATGTTGTGTTATGCTAGTATTCGACTGTGCTATTGTATTCGGATTGTGTAAGATTTCCAGCATTCTCGAGTTTCATCCCCGTTACATAACCTTGATTTTGTTTTAAGTTAACTGAGAATGCTGTTTATATATGCTCACGAAGATAACAGTTTCATGATCAGGAAAAAGATTTTTCCGTTTTCGGTTTAGGTTTAATACATACATGTGGACGCCTGATAAAAATAATTGCTTTGGGAATCGTGCTTTGGTCTTGGAAATTCATTGGTTGGTGGTCACTCAAGCAAAGCATTGTATTGTATTCTGCGTTTCAATGACCAAATCACAAAGCAACCTTTATTGAAATAGGTGTATACAGCGGGCGGACATAGCTGTAAACATCCTCCATAACATCATAAATAATGATCTGTCTTGTGACAGTGTAAGACAAACAATCTGATTCATGTGAGGCTGAAATAGAGAGACTTAGTTGTCTAATGGATGGATAGTTTTCACTGCCATGCAGTAAAATATTCAAAACCATGCTATGAATGTAGAAAGCTATCTGTCCCCTGGAATTTGACAAAAACATTATTTGAATTAGCTTGCGAATACAGCAGTCTGCTCTTGCTCGTTGCCACAAGGGATGTTTCACAGGAGAGACACCTGCACCTCAACAACAGAAATTCCATGCTGATGTAGCAAAGAGCGAGGAGAGACGGTTGTATTCGCAGGCTACAAATAAATTGAATCTAGCTGAGCCATTTTCTGTCAAGAGTCCCAATGAGGTTTTTTGGGATGTGGATTTGCTTTATTTGAATGCCAGGATTCAGGATTTAAAAGCAAAATGGGGTCCAGATTTGGAATTGACGGTATGCACATGATGCAGAATGCCAGAAAGAAACATCAGGATTACAGGTTTGAGGGCAAATTGGGGCCAGAGTATAGGATTTTATCTCGAACAAAAAGTGGGAAGAGTCTTTTACGAAAAGTTCTCATCTTTTCGTGTTGGAGCTCTTGGGGTCGGAGTAAGCAAAAAAACATAGAACAATCAACGTTTTAAACATTGCAACCCAAATGTTTAAGCTGATAACCTTACATCAAAACAACAAAGACATATTTGCAAACTTGATGGCAAAGAAGCTAAAAGTTTAGCTGAATAAAAAGCGTAACAAATTTTACACTGTTGTACTATAATTCTACCGTAGTTTTATAACTGAATTAGTATTCACTTTCTTTTTTTAAATTACCAAAACCACTTTGAATTTTTTGTGAGTGGTTAAAAGTTCCTGTTCAAAAATTCTGGAAATTCCTGGGGGAAGGGGGGGGGGGGTCATCAAAGACCCCCTGGAATGGAAAATCCTGGGGGTGGGGCAGTGTAAATCAAAAAGTCTTCCATGGTGGGGGTATGGATATTTTCTGGAATCACACATTAGAATTTCCTTGCCAAATTACTGTTTACTGTACTTGATTTTTGGCACTTTTCTCTGACCATGAAAGTGGTCATTAATGCCATTACTAGTGACGGGGGGTGGGAGGGGACGTAATTCTCTTCAGGTCATTGAGGTATGCTGAAGTGTCTCTGTTACAGGTCGAAATTACATTTAGGTTAAAAATTTTTTAACCAAGGTTAATTCTCAATTTTCTTTGTCTCCTAGCCCTAATTCATAAATAATCAGGTCTAGGAGATAAAGGAATAGAGAATCAAACTGAGTTAAACATTCCAACCTGAATATAATTTTGACCTATAACATCTTCTCCAAGTCCTGTCTCTAAGGCTACTTGGCTCAAAAGTAGTGAGCGCATCTGGAATTTACCTTACTTTTCAAAATGATTCAGTATCTCTACTGAACTTATAAGCATTTACTTTAAGCACTTCTCCTGATGCTTTTTCTACTAAGATGGCAAAGAAACTCACAAGACAAACAGGCTTGTTCCTTTGTTAAAATGTTCTGTTTGTGCTGTTAGAACCAAGAATAATACTGCCTTATGAGAAGATAAAAATTTGGGCCTTTACATAGTGATGGCTGTTATGGGTTTTTTTAAAAAATCCAATGATCCACGGTGCAAATGATCTATTGGGAGAAATTTAGAGGTGTGCTAGGGCAAGCTCTTCAAGAACGATGTCTAAATTTGTTGCATAGTCAATTGCTGTAGTGATATTTATTAGTGCAGCAAGACTTCTATAGGAAAAATTGTTCTTGGTCTTGTAGGTTTTGTTAATTAAACTGGTGATCTCTGGAACCCGGCCAAGGAGCATTAAGTGACATTATTATGCCCTGGTTGAGGAATCAACAATGTTGTAATGCTAGCTTTCCCATGAATAGTCAAGAAAGTGGAAACATTGGTTTAACATTTTTGTCAAATCATTTTAGTTGATGGCTTAGACTAACCTAAAACCATCTAAAAAGATCGTCTTCTCATTCTGTATGGTACTGGTTTATATTGGCATCAAAAAACATGGTTTTTTTCACTTTGTAAAGTGAAAAAAATTTCTCCAAATTGAAGCATCAAAAATCTGACTTCTTCTGACTTGTACATAACATGGAGATGGGCTCATTAGGAGAAGAAAAATTGGCAAAAATTACTGATATTGGAGTTTTAAAAATGCCAAGTTAATTGAAAGATAGTTTCTCTTTGACTCAAGTTTCATTTACCAGATATAATTTTCCTTTGTGATCCCATTTTTTAGGTTGATCAGTATGCTAATGTTACATTTGTGCATCATGAGATAAATGAATTATTCGAAGTAAAAAAAAAAAGATGTCAAATGTAAATTATAATCTTAATATAATGTGTACATGCATGTGTGTATACATGGGAGGCATGAACAAAAAAAAATTGGGAGAGATTTTTTATACCTGTTAAATGGTATACAAAATGTCTTCTAGGGGTATACTTCAATGTGTATAAACAGCCTTTAGCAATTGCATAAATGTAGAAAAAACTTTTCCTAATTTTTCTTTCATGAATGTTAATTTTTGTTAGGTTGAACAGCTGAGGAGAGCAAATAAAATTTGGACAAATGACAACATACACCTCTTAAAAATCCTGAAGGTTCCAGTGAGGAAAAATTCCCCACACTATGTAGAAGAACTAGAAGTTTCAGATGATGAATCCAGCGCAGATAACAGCAGCAAAAACGAAAGCAAAATCACAAATAATTCTAATTTAGTTAAAGGAGGGCAGCCTGGTGTGTTGCTCAATGGCTTTGGTGAAAAATTCAAAGATTTGGAAGGCAGCTCAGAAGAGATACAGCGGACGAAAGAGACCCCTCGTAGTTTTCTCCAACAGCTTGACGCTCGGATAAAAAGCTCCAAAAAAGAATCTGAAAAACTAAGGTGAGTTCTGTGTGGTAAATTTCTAGCTGTTTTTTACCTTCAACCTTTTAAATTGTTATTTGAAACCATTCAGCAGATGAAGTCAAGAATCTGAAAGATGGTAGAAGCAAGGTAACATTGATTGGGGTAGCGGGGGGAAGGGGTACAGTCGAACCTTTATTGAGCAGCACCATATTAAGCGGTCACCCTCTATTAAGCGGTCAGTTTTGAAAGTCCTGAAAATTACTTTGCTTGATGTAATGCAATTTTGACCTCTATTAAGTGGTGGCAATCTCCATTAGCAAAGTCCCAATGGGACTTTTTCCAGGGGGGGGGGGTACTGCCACATATGGGCTATATGGGTATGTGCCGCTGTGAAGGGTATGGTTTTCAAGCAGTTTACTCTAGGATAGGGTATATAAATCAGAGCGTTTGGGTCTAGAATAGGGTATCATTTTTCGGGAAACTGATCAGTTGGTTGAAGATTTTATCTAGACTGGGGAAACAGCTACTCTAGGATAGGGGGATTTGGGAGTTTACTCTAGTGTCGGGTAGCAAAATTCAGCTGAACTAGCTCTGGTATAGGTCAAGGGTTCCAGGGTCCTAGCGGCACATCCCCACCCTGAAATTCCTAAAGTGCTCCCCCCGGGGACTTTTTCTATCGTCTTGACCTGTCTTTAACGGTCACATGGCACAATTACTTGTTCATACAGTTTCAAATAATGTAACACACAAGGCACAATAATTGATTTCCTTGTCTATTTTTGCAATGCATTGAAATGTTGGAAATGAATGCTTCTTTTTGAGGTCATATGTCTGCTCTTATCAGCACTGGAGATCGAATTCTTTAAACTGTATTTCTTGCAACCTGTATTAGGCAGTCACCCTGTATTAACCCTTTCATGCGCAAATTCCTGGGAAGGAAAAGGCCGCTAAAAATACTACCAACAAAAAATTTATTTCTTGGCATCAATCTTGATAGTATGGTGTCAAAAATTGACCTAGACTGTTTCGGGATACATTAAATTGAAGCTAGCCTGCATTCGGTAACAGAAAACCAAATATCCTATTTTTGAGAATTTTTTAAAAATAAAAACTTGACAAAAATGTGTCTCAAAATAATTGCCTATAAAGTTTATCACCACATGGTTACTCCACACAGCAACATACATCAAAGCCAGTGAGAAAAATCGATCCAATGTCACACAAGCTTTATTTTGAAACCAAGAAAGCAAAATAAACGGTGTTAAAACTATGAAAGAATGGCAAAAATCTTTGACTGGTCGATACAAAATGGCGCTATTTGCATATGTTTCTTTGTAAAATGACCGATTTTGCTTCGAGTTACCTTTCAAGCCTATAAATCCAGCACCTTTCCTGGACAGCACGACACACTTAAAAGTTCAACTGTTTGAATCTTAAGCCTCGTAGTTCGCTGAAGAACGATTCCCTGAATGTTACCGCTTAATACAGGTTCCACTGTAGTTTTTTTATGGTACCCTAATCTAGAAACAGACTCTTGTGTTAGCTCAACAATATTGTAACTAATTGTAGTTATTAAAGACAGTACAAAAGCAAAAATTCCAACTCTACTTTACATTTAAAAAAAAAGTTTCTGATGAAAGTCTCCCAAGGTGGTCTGTCCTGAAAAGCTATTAGCTATTAAATGCATAGTTAGTGTAACAGACTATCAGGTAAATGTTACTGTACAAGGAAGTTACAAGCTTTTGGCTGATCTGGTGGTTAGAAAATGCACTATAACTCAACTCATGGCTTTGATTTCGAAGTAGGATTCAGTTCCTTTCAATTTCAACTACATCCTGACCTAAACTGAATATTTCAAGGTGTTACTTTCTTATCAGGGCTGTGGTCTAGCAGAGCCCAGTGGCCCCTGGCACCCAACTTTTGCTCTCGGGTGACTAGAAAATCTCAGATTTTTCATACAAATCATACGCTGGGCACCCTGGATTTTACAGGTTCGGAGCACTAGGCTCCCTTCAATTTTCCTTAGAGCACAGCCTTGCTTGTATTTGTATTTTATTTTTTACTCCATCCTATAATACATTAGTTGTACAATAATACAATAGTTGTACAATATTAATAATACATTAGTTGTACAATATCAATTGGTACAAAGTTGCTTAAACTACATGTAAATAATAATGATAATAAAAGAAGAAAATTAGAATGGAGAAGGGCACATTATAGTAAAACTAATCATGGCCCTTTAACAAGATTGACTTTATCCTTTTGTAGTTTTGTTATTCATTAAAACACAAACACGCATGCACGCACACACACACGCACACAAGTCAATATTGAGCAAGATAATATTTTTTAAGTGCCCTTTTGAACAGCATTTTCGATGATTTATTGCGAATAGAAAGGGGGAGATCGTTCCAATAGTATTTTCCAATGACGGCAGGGCAAAACTTTCGAATATTGATTCTTGAGTGGGGAATGTGTAATTGCTGAGCAGATGCACTTCGTGTAAAATAATCATGTTGCTCAGATAGAAGAAATAATGGAAAATTACAAGGCTTATTATCAGAGACGTAATCATATAAAAACAAACAATTGTAAATTTTAACAATATCACGAAATTTTAATAAATCTAGATGAGCATAATGAGAGAATAGTAAATACTAGTTAAACATTGATTTCCTAGATAACTTTTTATCTTTGTCATAATATTAATACTCTTACTGACTTTATCACAAACATAGTCGATATGGTCATGCCAGGATAGGTGGCTGTCAATATAGATACCTAAGAACAAATCACTTATACACTTACAGCATAGTTAGTCGAGGAGACTGGTTAATGAAAGCCAGTAAACATCAAAGTTGAAAACAATGCTGCTGTAGTTTATGTTGGAAGCTCCCTGATCATGCACAATTCTTTGGTTTTTGTTCACAAATTGTGACGGAATAAATTAATGCGGTGTTTCTGTTGGTCAGTAAGTTCAAAATGATAGGAATGCTATTGAACATTGAGCACGCGTTATCAAAAAAAGGATCAATTTAGGTTTCAGATAAACTGCCCACCTACCCCTCCTCTGAGCCAACATTATCACTTACTTCTCACTCAGGGCAAAATGTTGGCTCAGGGGAGGGGTAGGTGGGCAGTTTCCCAGAAATCTAAAGTGATCTTAAAAACATATAACAAAGAAGTATGTTGGGCTTTATAACCATTCCACTTTATTATCTATGCGTATAGTACGAAACCAGTTAGAACTCTTTATTCCCCAGATTGAAGTTTTTGCTGTTCTTGCAGAACTGTCTCTGGTCCTAAAGTCATAGCAGATGTGGAAAAGTTAAATGAAAGCCATGTCGCAGATGATGATTTGTTCCGACCACTTGAAAGTACATCATCACGCAAACACAGAGGAAAGATACTTGCATCAAAGAGACATTTTAAAACGGATAGAACTTCCCTTCAGGAATCTGATGAACAGTTCTTTGAGCTCTGATGCAGTTTAAAACATTTTTAGCTATCAGATTCTGCGGTATTCTTGTGGAAGTCCTTTTACTGCAGTGACAGGGATGACAATACATGTATGATATAATTTATTATTATCTCATGATTTGGAAGGAATCATTTGAGTTGCTAATAGCAGTGAATGAACACCTGCTAAAATGTCATGAATGAATCTGATGTCCATACATTGAAGAATTGAGTGTTCTTTGGGTTGACAGAAGTGACGTGTAAATGCAAGTTTTAGATTAATTTTTAGAAAACATAAATTATTGAATGTTCCCAATCAGAGTTCCTTTTTCCCAGGACTGAGTGGGACTCAGAATATTTTTTATATCACCAAAAAATCAAATCCAAACTTTTGACAGTGACCACTAAGCAGGAGCAGATTCAGGAATTTTGGGATTGTAAGTGGAAGCCCGCTTGTTTGTACTCTTCATAAGTTTCATCCTTTCTTGTAGCTAAGTGCTACCTATTATTCTGTACCAGACAACTTCAATTATCTAGACCCTTGTAATTATGATACTTTTAGTAATGTTGAAATTGTATCCGTAAATGAATGCAGCTTTGAAACATTCTTTCTTTGTAATTATTGATAAATTTTTGCACGTGTCATCAGCCGGAACAAGCCTTCAGACCCTTGTAAAAAGGTATAACCAAAGCCTTAGGCCCTGTCCACACTAATGCGTTTTCGTTGTCATCGAAAACGCATCGATCGAATAGTGTCCACACTTCCGTTTTGATGCGTTTTTGACTGTCAACACTAAAATGTTAGAAAACGATAGAATTGCACGTTGTGACGTAATTTGAACTCTATGCGCATGCTCTAATTTTTCACACGCACCTGCGATATTTTCGGTCATCGTTTTTATTTTGATGCGTTTTCGACCGTCTCGCGTTTTCGTTTTGATCCACTCTCAAGAGCGTTTTCTAATCGATGCGTTTTCGATGAAAACGCTAAGCGTATTGGTGTGGATGGAAGGCCTAAACGCATCGAAATGTATGCGTTTTCAAACTTCAATTTGTGATTGAATGGGCAACCTAGGTGAAAGATGAGACTATGAGTTAATCACTCCCTTCTCCTGGATCCGCTATACAACATAAATTCAGAACATACCCCTCTCTTGTAATGAACATTATGTAAAGTTCTGTAATATAATAGAATTATTGAAAATATTTTATTAAAGAATTACTAGCATATGCTAACCTGAGGTGGACAGTGACAAGTAGTGGTTATTTGCAAAGGAGCTAACAGCAAGGCGGAAAGTAGCTGAAAGTACCTTCCAGTCTTGGTCAGCGAATACAGTCGGCCGTCTGTCATCGCCAACCGCCGCCGGGATGTCCCGCACGCGGAACAAAAGCATGCCGATTTATTAAATAAATCTTAGTCCTTGAAAACTGTAATTTGTCCTTGAAAAATCCTTGAAAGTCCTTGAAATTTGTTTGTCTGAAGTTCAGTCCGAACCATGGAATTCACAGGCTACCAGTCTTTGCAATGTTCCAAAGGCTAGCACATATTTATGGACTGAATGCTGGAATACAGTAAAAACCCGCAAGTAAGAACCTACATTTTCTGGAGTTAGCCTAAACAGGTTCTTATTCAAATGGTAGTTAACGCAATTTTAGGCTATTTAGGTTCTTAAATAGGTTCTTATTTCTGTAAAAAAAAATTAAATAAAAAAACAAGCTACAAAACAAGATGGCAATCAGCCTATTGGTCGATTTCAAAATGCGATACAACGATATTAACCTTTTGCACTTTATTTTTTTATTACATCAATAAATTAGCACTTTTATTTGCACAGCAATGTCAAGTTCCTAATTCTCCAAACAGGATTCTTGCACAGTTTTGCAGCTGCATTTCAATAATATGATTTTAAAAATTAAGAACCCGTTTTTCATTTTCTAGGCTAAACAGGTTCTTGTTTATAGGGTATATAAATGGCAAATTTTAGACTAACAGGTTCTTAATTTTCAGGTTCTTACTCGCGGGTTTTTACTGTATAACTATTTCACTTACACACTACCATTTCCGATAATCTTAAGGCACATACGTGCTCATTTGTATTCGTATCATCAGTAACATTTTCCAAGGCCCAACGCCAGCACCCCCTTTTCACATTGAAGAGGGGTTTGTGTTCAAGTATCAAAAGACATTTTAAAGCGGTCACCATCAAGCTTTTGGAAGGGGTTCAAACGATTTTTTGTATTATATAAAGGTCAGATGGATGCCCAAACTGCCCAACTTACACAAATTTGTGAAAGGTTTGAACCCCAGGATGTTCACCCGGACGACCAAACTCAACCTACTTTTACACAAATTTGTTGTACAGGCCCAATTTTACGCCCACTTCTAACATCATGGCAGAGTCGTTTAGATAGAAAGATCTGGCCAATAAGTGATATCGTGTATATTAGGAGCCTAATATATAAGTCGGGCCTACAAATCGCAAAAATCCCAGTTCTAAATCAACGCCTCCGTTAAAGATTAACAACCTTGCGGTGAATTAACGTTAAAAATTGACGCCAATCACCGACATTAGATGAGTAAAAGTACTTGAACCCTAAGAAAATGGACTGCATTTACTACAATTGGTGAATTTAGTTCAATGTTTTACGTGAAAATTTATTTTTAAGTTTTAGTTTTCATTGAAATAGAATAAGTTTTCCGTGATTCCTACATTTACACTATTTACAGTGGGATAATTAGGTCGGGTTATTGTGTTTTTGACCATGTTGACTACTTTTCTCCTCGAAAAATGATAAATCCATGGAAATAATGACCCCCACCGAACCCTTAAAAGTAACAACCTTTCCCCAATCCAACCCCAAAAGTAATTTCCATGAAGTTTAACCTTTTCAGACCGGAGTTTTTTTCCTTCCCGCGACTTGGGGGTAGTCGGACGGCTCTCTCTAAAAACCTTTAAAAATAGGCGCTCGAGAAGCGCGTGTGACTACAGGTGAAGAGTAAAGTGCATTTTTAACGAGTTTTAATTCTTTTAAATGCATTGCAACGTTTCTCAATGATTCGTAACGCATATTTTAGCCTTTCCCATGAATGCGTGCACTTTCGTTAAATGATGAAGAATCATCAACACAATGGCAATGCCGACCAATTTTTTTTCTTTTTTTGCGTGTCTATAGAAATGATACCGAAATTTCAGCGCGGGACACGTAGTTACTCCAACACGTCTTTTTTACAATGCGCTGCAAATGGTCTAGCTCTCTGTAGCCGCAAGGGACGGACCATGATAAAAGTTATGGGGGTTGGAGAGGGGGGGGGCGAAGTACAAAAAAATATATCATGCAAGAGAAAATTTAAGTGAAAAAAATTCATGCATGCAGAGTAGACCAGAAAAAAAAAAACGGCCTTCCACACATTTTGCACAACGTATCTCAAGAAGGTATGCAAGAAAGCATACTGTGTGCAAGACATCAGCTCTTTGAATAAACTTTCTTTGAATTCTGGTCTTGTATTAAAATAATCATACCTGATACAAGAGAGACTAGTAAGCTTATCATGTAGATTTTAATAGCTGGCAATTTCAGATATAATTATAAGGTTATCGTTACCTTACTCTTTGCCATATATCTAATATCTGGAACAAAACATTTCTTTTTAATACCATAGATAACAATAATCAGAGTAGTCCCAATAATTCGAAGGAAACACCCAGAAACACCCCGAATATATATTATTTCTTATAGTTCTAACAAGTGTGAAAACAGGTTTTGCCTTCACAAAAGGGTAAACTGACGGACGGGGAAAAACTCTAAAACTCTCTGGGAAAGGCCTTTTCCTGGGGACGCTCGCTGGCTGCGGGAAGGCACGGAATCTCTTACGCCTGCTGAATACCCTTGAGACAATGATTACAACAGAACTTGGCTCCAATGTAGAGTTTTAATCCAAGACTGTACTGCGGGTAGAGTCAGGAACATAACCAAAGAAAATCTTACAAAACACTGGTGTAAATACTCTAAGTTGATGACGCGATACAGATTAGGTCATGCACTAGCGAGGTAAATTACAGAACACAACAATCATTTCTAAAAGACTATTGGTGGAAACCCAAGTTTGCTTTGAAACATTAATTACTTCCAAAAGCTACGCAGGTGGATAACGGCTTCTTACAGGTTGATTACACTTTGAAGACTAAATACAATTATGACTTGACAAATAAGTTAACGCTCAATAAATCAACAGGTTGTTTACGGCTTAAAGAAGTTAAGACTAAAGAACAAATGATTTCTACATTGGCTTTTCACATTTTTATCAGCGAAAGCAAAATAACTGAATAACAATAAATTATCTCTTCACACAAGCAACAAATAAATAAAAATCAAAATAATAAAAAAATCTATTTTATGAGATTTCGTTTTTACAGTTGTTGCTGGTCTCTTTAGATAAATGGAACTAACTCAAAGAAACATGTTCTTTCCAGACTAGCAGCCTAAAGATATTTAACATTTGGTCAATTTTTTACCACACCTTTTTAGACAATTTCCGTTTTGGTTCTTGATAATAACAATATTATCATTATAACTGTATTTTATAAACAAAAACTTTAATGTATCAATATGGTAAGAATATATCATAATTGATCAACGGTAGGGGTATTTTGCAGAACGCAGAACGCTGAACGCAGAACGCCGAATGATGGTCAGCGGTAATAGTGATTAGGGCTAAGACATGACCATAGGGTAGGTACTTGATGTATGAGGACATACATTGTACCTACCGACTATAGTGATAAAAGCACTGACTCGTAGTATGGTTAATTTTATTACTGTTAGGGTTGTCGCTATATACCGCTCACCATCATGGAAGCCTACATTTAAATTATGCCCTTGGCTAAGTGAACAACTGAATGATATAATATTTTTTTTAGTTTAGTGTTACATCTAGGGAAAAAAAGTATTTGTTCACAACTTCTTGACAAAGAAAAATATTCACTCAAGGGAAACATTAAAAAAAAATTCAAGCTTCTCGAAAACGTTTTGAAAACTGAGCTCTGCATCTACCATTTGGTCCTTTAGGTATCTTTTTTTCTCAGGTAGTCACTACTAAAAACAACCTGGATTGCATTAGATTTACATAATAAATTTGATAAAATAATGCTGAATTAAGTCACTGTAGTATAACAAATAATTCAATAAGTTGTCACCCCTACCCGTCTAAAGAGGGTTGAAAAGTCACCCCTACCCGTCTGCTTCATTGCAAGATGGCATGTACACCACGTCCTAGGAATAGACCTATTCGGCTAACTCAATGTTGTACCCAATTCAAATCTCCCGGGGATAAGATTCTTTGTGTATTGTATTTGCATTATAATGTGCCATTCACATTTAAATGATATGGAAATTCCTGAAACAAAACGTTTTATTCCCAACGGGTTTGAATTGGGTACAACATTGAGTTAGCCGAATAGGTCTATTAGGAAGCAAGTTTCTCAAACAAGTTTTGTTTGTGCAGGGCACATGTTTACGCAATGATGCGTGAACTAGGGCACGTGAAGTAATTTAACTGGGTGTAAAGCTCATGTAAAATTCTTGGAAACATTTTTATTTCCGGTCATACACGGTTATGGCCTCTTTAGGGGGTTTAAAGAGGTTTATAAATGGATACGTGGTACCTTTTAGCTGAAATAACTGATGGTTTTGAGTATTGGGTGGGTCATGATTTTGATGTTCATTGGACGGTCTTAGTACTGTAGGGTGGAGGCATTTACAGTCAAGGATAGATGAGCCTCTCTCTATGGTCGATTTCGACGCTCGTTTTCAGTCCGTCAAATTGTCGGTTTTTCAGGCGAAATCGTCGCATATATCAAGAATTGTTTTGCGTGGTAACTCTACCACCAGCTCAGCATAACCACAACGAACAGCCAACAGGTTAAGTAAGAAAAACAAAAGAGCACTTTTGGACAGATTTCTTTGCCTTCACTGCACAACTAATGTTGTCAAACTTGACTAGAAGTCATTTTCCTGCCGGAAATATGTCATGATTCTGAGAACAAGTCTATAAATGGTAACTTTCTAGTAAATTCTAAGAAGGCGTTCACTTTCCAAGAATCGGCACACGCCATAGTTACCTCTCAAAGATTCTGATTGGTGGAAACCGCGTGTACAGGATAAAAGCCAATATTTCATTGGTTCTTTGAGAATGGAGAAAGTAAATGTTAGACAACACCCAGTTGTAGTTGGATCCAAACCAGAGAAGTCGCGTTGGGTGCTGTGAGAAGAAAGAATACCTGTCTGCAAATTTGGTTATGATGAAAGCAGTACTCGCATTTCTCGTTCTGTTCGTTTGCTTCAATGTTGGTAAGCTCCTCCTTCAGTACTCATTTACTGTGAATTTCCCGTTGTTGCTTGTGTATTTCGTCAATCGAACATCGTGTATACTTGGTGCAAAATCAGTATACCTTTTAACAATGCAAACTTACTCATTTATTTCGGGCGAAGCAAATCTTGTTTGATGAGATCTGTGATTGGCCATTCAGAACAGCTTTTTTTCTCACAGAGCTTCGCAGTTTTTCCTTTAGTAAAGTTGCAGTTTCTTTTAAAGTTTATTTTATCTAAGGGATCTTTGCAGCCTGATTGTCGCCATAGGTATTTACGCGCAATGTGGGATAACCGTCGACACGTAATTTATCCGAGTAAAATAAAACGGATTGGAAACTCAACTCAATCTTAGAAGTAAAGGCCAGAAGTACGAAATTACTGCCAAAACATCGATTGCTTCAATCTGCTGAATAAACGGCTTTTACATTTTTCAAATTCGCCTTCGACCGCTTCCTCGTGTTTGCAACGTGCCAGCGCCGAGATACAGTATGAAACCGATACATTACAGTTCTTTCATTTTTTTCGGTTTTATTTGGCCGTAGTTAAATAGAAAAGAAATTGGAATCATTTGCGCATTTACTGCATACCCATCTGTATTTTCCTGCTTTTAGCCGCAGCTGGTATTTTGGAATGTATAAAGGTTTAGTTTATTACGGGAATGTTTCAATAAAACGTCTCTCGTCGCACTTTCAACATTTGCCATTTTATTTTGTTACGCTGCAAAGCGCTAAGTACTACATTGCAAACGACAGAGTTGTGAGAAGCAATAGAGTGGAAACTGACTGTTTATTAGTGCTAAAAAAGTTCTACGATGTTATGAAAACAGTTTATATATATATTTTTAAGGATATGGTTTGAAGTGCTATACCTGCGTCAGTACCAAGAGCTGGGGTGACTGCGACGACGTCAAGAAAGAACTCACTTGCCCTCCGACTGCCAATCGCTGCGCCAAAATATATGAAGATGTCAAAAAAGGAGGAGTGTCGGCTGAAGGGTATGCGAAAGGTTGCTTACCCGAGAAAACGTGCTCAGACGTCCAATTGATCGATGAATGCAAAGATGGCGGAAAATGTGAAGTCAATTGCTGCTCTAGTGATCTGTGTAATGCTGCCCCTCTCAAAATAATGAGCACCTTTATTTTGCTCACATGTGCTCTTGTTGCGTTGATTCAATGAAGCAGGACTCGAACTTTATTTCGTTGAGTTACTTTGTTATTTAGCGGAAAGCGTTTACGTAAGTAGAGTTTCGTTTAAACTAGTTTCCAGGTTTGTCAGTTGCTTTTAACTATGAAACGATGGCGGTAGAAATGAAATGTTTAATTTGCTAAGAATTTTGACCGAAACCGATAACAAATGCTGTATTTTGATTTTAGCTTAGCATTATTTTGTAAAAACAACTCAATGTTTATTTTCTGAGCAGCTGTAGCAAATGGAGTTGTAATTTTTAAGCCTAAAAAGAGAATTCTCACACGAGAAAATCCGTTTCAGTATTTATTGTCTGTGTGTTGATGCACTCGAGTCACGCGGTTTCTTCTAAATCCGTTTTAAAATGTTCAATGTGTTCATATCAGGGGAGAGGGCGGGCTGGCTCGGTTCCCGAGATCTTGGTTAGTAGGCTGGAAATTTTGCCATATGAACACTTCAACCCGGCATGAGGACCCGCATACGACTCTCTTTTGCACACCACATGACGCCGGAGTTGTTAAGGACGCTAGGTTTTGACTGACAAGCAATAAACCTCCTACTGCGAAAAGCAATTAGTTTCTTCACCGTTTGATCCAACCATCAGCGGTCAGTATTAATATTAGATAAATTGCGTTACATTTTTTAACAAGATTAAGGCGGCACATGGCGATAGAGTAATATTAAAAGAAGAGATTACTATTTAACACATCTGCCTGAGATTTGCGTTCTCAGCTCACGAGTTATCCAGAATAATCGCGCGTAGCCTACGACTCGAGCGTTGTCTTTCTGGTCTTTGCCAGTATTAAAATGTACCGCAGTTCCATATTGTATTGAATGTATTGAAGGTCGCAGAACTCAAATAGAATCGGACGAATGTTGCTAGAAAAAAGCGCGGGTTCAAAATGTTGATTATGTGTAACCCGCAGTCCGTGAACACACAGCATACTACTCATCGTAAAGGAAAGATAGATGCCAAAGCAAATTGCAATCATTGATCTCCAAGGCTTTGTGTGTGCAGATTCACAAGATTCAACCAATTTTTTGGCCTGAGCTTGCTAACTGCAGTTTCCGCAGTGAATCGCTTCACGCACGCGCTGGTGCGTTGTACTCGTACTTTTATGGCCTCTATCTGATGGAATCTTGTACATTCAACGCACTATAGTTAAAAATTTAACCAAAACAAAGGACATAATAGTTGGCTTTTTCTTTATATGCAAGAAGTGTGACATTATGATTTGAACTCTGATCGAATAAAGCCAGCATTGCATTCTTGAGATGATCGTAAAGGACGGTGTGTGCGTCTGGGTGGGTTTAGATCACATTAGGAGAAGAAGACGGTCTTCCTATGCCTTGAAAATGTTTCTGAGCCTTACGATATTACGATAAAAGTGTAAGTGGTAATATTCATCGGTAGTCTGGTCGGTATTTTGATGGAGAAAACGTTAGATCTTCTAATCCGACTGCATTTGTTTGGTGACTATTATGCATGATCTGCTGTCAATGATGTAAAACGTCTGCAAACCGGGGCTACACAAAAAAAAATTCCGCTATTTAATGACGGATTTGCAGAAATACTATTGTTACTCGTCCTAAATTCCTAAAGATGTCATAGTAGAGGCAGAAAACACAAAGACCAAGCGATCAAATGGATTCGGTCGAATAGTGAAATCGTCATCCCGCCAAAACGTGTCCAAAGCCCGCCAAAAATTACCAAATCTCGCCGCTGCCGCTATTTAACTCCTTATCCAGATAAGAAAATGAGCTATGTATTGCAGGAAAACGAAATCACTTGCGCACAGAAGAAAATTAAGGGTTAATATGTCTGATATGTTTTAGCTCGAGTAAGCGAGTGTTGGTGAATGCCATGGTGTTCTAAACTCCTAAGTGCGATTTTTAAAGTAACAGAAACACTAGGTGGCGCGCCCGTGATTCTGTGAGTTAGACACCACCGTGTTATCGAATCACTTGCGCACAGAAGAAAATTAATGGTTTATATGTCTGATATGTTTTAGCTCGAGTAAGCGAGTGTTATTGTAATTGCCATGGAGATCTAAACTCCTAAGTGCAATTTTTAAAGCAACAGAAACACTAGGTGGCACGCCCGTGATTCTGTGAGTTAGACACCACGGCATTATGAAATCATTTGCGCACCAAGTGGAAATTTACAGATTAATATGTTTTAGCTCGAGTAAGCGAGTGTTATTGTAATGCCATGGTGATCTAAACTCCTCAGTGCAATTTTAAAGCAACAGAAACACCAGGTGGCACGCCCATGATTCTGTGAATCAGACACCACGGCATTATGAAATCACTTGCGTACCAAGTGGAAATTTAAAGGTTAATATGTTATAGCTTGAGTAAGCGAGTGTTATTGTAATGTTATTGTGTTCTAAACTCCTAAATGCGAGTTTTATCATCCAACAGAAACACTAGTTGGCGCGCCCGTGATTCCGTGAGTTAGACACCAAGGTGTTATGAAATCACTTGCGCAATAACTGGAAAATTAGGGGGTATACAAGCTATGAAAGCTATATGTCTGTCTTAGAGTGTTTTGTAATAGGTGATTTTCTTGTAGGAGACAATCCGCCAGTTATATTTTTCGGCATTTATTAGTAAAAGATTTGTTTTTTCGTTACAAAGAGAGCACGCGTAACAAAATTCCCATTTCCAGTACTTTTAGTACGTCCTGGATACTGGAAAGCACCAGGCGGTGTGCGCACTACGATTGCGATGCATTGTGGATTCAAAATTTTCAAGATGGCGGCGAAGGTCGAGAAATTTCGCAGGTTATATGCTTTATTTTTCAATAGATACAGTTCATTCCTTAGATCGTTTTTCTCGATTTCATAAGCTAATAATTGTTTAGATTTTTTCTGTGAAGAAAAACAAATCAATATTCCTCATTTCAATCTAAAACGTAGAGCCCGAAGATTCCTCCTGTAAGAGCATGAAATTTGAACCCGGTTTTTAAGAAGCTATAATTTCCATTATATTGCCCGTCGAAAGTCAAAGATAGTTGGAAGTGTTTCTACAAACCTTGTTCCACGCTAGTTTTTTATCGCTCCCCAACGCGCCCCACGTTTTGTGATACTTTTTCCGAATTGAAACCGGCATGTTTTCATGGGAAAATGTAGCCTCGCGAAGACCAATGTGACATGTTACTGGAAGTGTTACTGTTGTAATCACATGCTGAACACATAATAGCGGGGCAGCTGCGACTGGTTCCTCCAAACAATAGCATTTGGTGAGCATAAAATGTTCGAAATTGGTATATGAATAGGCTGATGAGTACTCTGATGTAGGAATGTCCGTTTTTGTAATAGGACTAAAAAAAAGCATAATAAAATTGCAGTCATACATGTGATTCCCTTTATGCAGGTATAAAATCAGTAGGATAAGAATTACAGGTATTAAATTAAATGATAAGTTTGATTATACAGTTAAGCCCTGTGCATTTTGAAACCAGTCATCCTTTATGAAAAATGGTTTTTGGGAGAGTTGTAAGAATAGTGCAGTGCAGTGTAGAAGAAGAGTTTCATAACATCCACCAAGCTTGCACTTTACTTTTATTCAGAGAAATATGCACATCACTCTTGAGAAAAGAAAATCATAATCTACTTCCAAGATTGGTGTGTGTTGTTGTGTGGATGTTATGACTGTCAGTTTCTTGCCTAGTCCCTGTTTTATTCAGTTGTGATTAGCCTCTGTAGCAGGCATTTAAAAGGAAAGGGAGAGGGGTTTTGCGCACAAGAGAAATGCGAAGAGTGCACGAGGAAGGAGGGAGTGATTTCAACATTCACCCGGTTGATGTTTATAATGCAAAAAACAAATTGGTCGCCTGTATGGCAGGCATTTCCCTCCCTCCTTCCCTCACATTTTTCTTGCACCAAGACCCACTTTCCCTTTTCTTTGAAATGCCTGCCACACAGGCTAAGTGATGCCATTCAATCTGTTGACCCGTTTACACTGTTTAATGTATATCAAGCATTTGCATATTTTGGTGGGTTTAGTTAAAATATAAATTGCTTGATCATTGAATGAACTTTTGATATTTGAAAACCAAGGCTGAAAAGATGGTGACAGGCAAAGGAAATAGGAAAAGTGGAACAATGGGGCAGTAAAATCATAAGACTAAGAACCTGAATTAACAAAGTAAGCCTAAACAGATTCTTATATAAATAGAAGTTAGCACAAGTTTAAGCTATTTAGGTTTTTAAATGGGTTCATATTTTCGTCTGAAGAAAAAATGTAGCTAAGAGTATTTGTGTTTCACCTTATTCCTCATATAAAGTGTGCATACCAAATTAGAAGTTATGTGAGAATGGACATAAAATGAGGAATGTATTTTGATTTAAACATTGGCATTTACATTGCAGTTGGAGTGATAAGACAGCTTTGTCTCCAAAGAAGATTCTAAATGTTGATTTATCTCTGCTCAAGTGTGCAGAATTTTTTCATAGATTTCAAAAATAAGAACCTGTTTCAAATCTTAGACTAAACAAGTTTTTATATAGAGGGGGCTCATCTGGCATATTCTAGCCTAACAGGTTCTTAAAATTCAGGTTCTAAGTCAGGGGGTTTTACTGTAGTACTAGGATCCACCTCTGCAATAACTGGTAACCCAAAAGCCCTCTTTACCGACAACCACTTCATACAGACACCTGATCAAGGCTGTGCTCTAGCAGAGCCCTGTGGCCCCTGGCACCTAACTTTTGCTTTTGGGTGACTAGAAAAGCTCAGACTTTTCATACAAATCATATGCTGGGCAGCCTAGATTTCACAGGTTCACAGAACTGGGTTCCTTTCAATGTTCCTTAGGGCACAGCCTTGCTCATCATTACGGACGGCTTGCTTTGTTCCCTGGAAAAAAGCCCTTAAATTTTCTCTAAATTAAGATGGACAATTTGTACGGTCCCCTCAGTGTCTGTATAACAGAGTTGACTGTGAGTATGGTGAGACCTATGACACCATATTTAAATTATAAAATTGGGGTGAGGAGAAAGGAAAGGGGTCTCAAGCTATGTTGCCCCAGCCCTAATTACAGGAGATTTGTAAACATGTATGAATTTCACATTTTGAGGAGTTTTTAGAATCCAAAAACATATCTGATAACAAGTGTTTGTACATACTGACACAATCATTAAACAAATAGTGGCTGAAGCTTTTAAAATCTATTGACTGCATCAGGCTTTGTAATCACAAATATGCCATTTTCAGTTTCAATCCAG